GCAAGACGTGCTAGCACCAGCTCTATGTGGGACTCTCGAGATGATGAGATTCGGAGGTTGAGAGAAGAGCTAGATGAAATTAGGGCTTCCCAAGCTCGTGAATTATTGTCGATTAGAGAAGAGATGACCCGACTTTATGGAGGAGTTTTCCCACATGGAAATGGAGATGGCGGTGGAGATGGAGGAGGGGCGGGATTTGCAGGAGCTTGTTGAGTGTTATATTAGAATTGAAGAACAATATATTAAACTTAAGTTTTATGGTTATGTAAGTGGAGTTAGATTTGATTGTTATGTTGAATTTTTATAAATATTACTTGAAATTTAGTTGTACATTGGTGACTTAAATATTCTTGGTTATTTGGTAATCTTCATTTCCAGTAATTGTTGTTGTTTGATGCTGGGATTTCTGAGCTTTGCTATGGATGTGTGCAAAATTGAAAAAACAGCAGCTTCCTGGTGCAACCTGTCAAATTGGCGACAGAATTGGCGACGGAATTGCATTTCCGTCGCTATATGGTCAAAATGAATATTCCGTCGCTATTTCCGTCGTCAGAATTAGCGACGGAAATTTTCCGTCGTGAGTTCCGTCGCTTAATTCCGTTGCCAATTCCGTCGTAGACTAGCGACGGAATCAATAATCCGTCGTTACATTTACTACTAACGAAAAATTAACGACGGAACACATTCCGTCGTTATTTTCGTCGTTATGGAGATTACCTACGGAAATAAGGGTTTGGCGACGGAATAATTCCGTCGCCATTTCAGCAGTTTTTTGTAGTGCAATCGCAGATGTTCATGAGTGAGGGGGAGATGGAAGAGGAAGCTGATGCATTTAAGGTGGTTTGTGATGCATTGGAATATGGATGGAGCTTGACTAATCCATGTGATGTTGATATGGTGAGATTTTTGATATATGTTTTTGACTAATATTTGTGATGTTGGTATGTTTAGTTATATTGCATGCATATGCTCGTGGAATGCATAATATGTTGTGAAACGTGCAGATATTGTTCCTAGTAATGCAACACTGATGGTGTTATTGCATATGTGTGAACCTGAAGGGGAATAGGGTTTATATCCTGGACAGCTCATCGGCCGGCATCACAAAGATTGATAAATATGACAAGATGCCAAACGTTGTTGTAAGAATAAATTGATAGAGCATCACCCAAATGTTTAAGGGGGATACAGATCTTTTATAATGTAATGAGTAGAAATGCTAAAATCTGATGAGAAAAAATGTATTTCATTATTGTAATCTTTTATCATCCCTTTGATTGCAGCGAGACATGGTCGTAGAATATTTCAAGAGTAAAGGTCTGGATGGCCGGGTCGAGAAACTGAAGGCACAAGAACCAAAACGATTGCAACTGGCATGGAGAGATTCAACTGCTGTATTTGAGTATGGTGTGATTACAATGCGGAAAATGGAGACGTACACAGGCCAGGCATTGAGACGGTGGGACTTTGGATTGAAAAAGGGAGATGAGAAGGCGGTGAATGCACTTTGGAAAAAGTATTGTGCTGCGATCGTCGAATCAAATGTGAACGAGGTTAAGGACAAGATAAGGCATCTGGTGAAGCACTTTAGCCGTTGAAGACTACATGACTGGATTATAATTCATTTTTTTGATGCCTGACTCTTCATGGGGATTATGATCTCTTTTTTTGTTTTTCTAGAATTTCCAATTTTGTATCGTTTTGAAATTTGATTCAGGGAGCAACCCCTGAATGAGTCAATGCTGGCTTGTTCGTTTTGCTAGATGGGGTCGAATTATTGCTCAGTATGAGCATAGATAGACATAATTTTGGGTATTTGTGAAGAATTCCAGTATTAACTTAACTAGATGGCAGTGTCTTTTAATGAGACGTTTTTTTGCATTGTTATTATCCATAGAGTTCACATGATAGTAGTGTCATTGAGTAGTGAAATCGGAAATTAATGAGTGTGGGTGAGTGTGTAATGTGGAATTCAAAAAGAGTGCATATTATTCATGCATTGGTGTACGTTTATGGGTCTATTTGTGCAACAGTACGGAAATATTGTTCTCAAGTGTTGGAGGGGAATTTCATTTAAAAAGATTAATGAGTTCGAATTGGAACGTGATTGGGGCATAAATTGTTGTAGGAGTTTGCGTTATTAGAGCATTCTGGAATGGTTTAAGTGCAATGTAGTACTTGTTTAATGAGAGGTACATATTTCAACGGTGGTGAATTTGGTCAAATGTATATATAGTTGGGAAGACGTAAGTGACGTTCAGACTACTCAATCTAATGGAACGTGAATGGTGCAGAAATTCTTCCAGAAGTTTATGTGTTGTTAGTGCGTTCTGGAATGGTTTTAGTGCAGTGTAGTAGATGTTTAATGAAGGGTAGAGATTTCCACAGTGTTGAATTCAGTCAATTTTATTGCAAACTCCAGTTTAGATTTGTATAATGCACATAAGTTTGGAGAAGACCTAGTTGTCGGTTTTTAAACATTCATAATTTCCCGATGTTTATGGGTCTTCCGAGTTTATACATGAACTATTAGAGCCATGAGTGCATGTTTCATAGAACATGAAGTGCGTGAGGCGGTATTGGACCAAAATGGTACATTTTGATGTAGTGTAAATACGTATAGTGCATGCATCCATAAAATTGCATATATAACTCAACAAGAGTGAAGAAGTTGTTTTTGAAATCACCAAAAAAACTATTCTCGCTCTCAGATTGTGATGTTGTGCGTAGTAAACTAATCATGAACAAATCTCTAAAGTATGCAGGAATCCGGCTTTTACGAATAGCAAAAAGATTACAAAACCATGAATCGGAATCCAACTCATAATCAACTAATACCTCATGCCATTGTTTTTCCCACTCTTTAGGCTCGAGGTAATGATTCCATATCACAGAGTTTAGCCTTGTCAAGAAGACCTAATCTTTGGCAAGTTCATTGTCAACTTTGGTCGTAATCTTGTTCGTAATATGCCACATACAGAGACGATGGATTGTCTTTGGGAATGCTTCTAGGATAGCAATAGCCATAGAAGCGTCTTGGTCAGTGGTTATGCATTGCGGGGCATGACCCATAACATCAAGAAAGCGATTGAACAACCACCTGTATGAAGGAACATCTTCTCTGCGTAGGAGACCGCCAGCTGCAAACGTAACACATCTGCGGTGGTTATCTACACCAGTGAATGGTGTAAAAACCATTTCGTACCTACATCACGGGTAACACACCGACACCAAACTAGTTCAACCTCTAAAAACACGTATTAAGTGCGTTATGTAAGTATGATTATGCAGGAAGAAATAATTTCCATTGTTTGGGGTGACTCCTCATTTGGAGTTGTAGATGTGTACACTGCCAATAGAGACATATAAGGGTTGATTAATGCCCTGCTTAAATATGATTATGCAATACAGAATACACACAAATGCGAAATAAAGGGAAATATATGAATATATAACCACAGAAGGTGCGCACACATCATGAAGCATCATTCCATGAAGTGGTTGAAATTGACCGACAACATAATGAAAAGAAAACCAGAAACAAACGAACAACACAATTATCCAATACAGGACCTGCAAAATGTGAAATAGAGGAAAAATATATGAATGGGTACACTGCCCAGTGCGTCATAAAGGGGGTTGTTTAATACACAAAAATACTGACAAGTTAATAGCAAACAAAAGCAGATGCATTCTTGAAACCAAACTAGTGGATCCGATTTAATGCAGCTGTGAGAAATGACGAGGAAGAAATTAAAACTAGAACCCCAAAAAACAAAATTGTAAATAACACATATTTTTACATGTAATTTCAAAGCAAATGTAGAAGCATTCATGAATCCAACGAACTGCAACAGGTGAGCAAAATTCAAGAAGATATTTACATAATTCAAAACAAAACGAAATAAAAAAAACATACCTGGAACCATGATAAAAAATCGATCGAGGAATCCCAATATCGGACGATTGGGAGGTTTGTGAAATTAAGAGGTTGCTAAATAAGGGAATTCATATCTGCAGAATTGATACGGAAGAAATGAGGAAAGTGAATCCGATCGTGAGCGAGAAATCAGGGATGAGGGTGTGTCATGATGGTTAGCGTTTAACAGATTGCCATGGAAAGACCTTTATGCCCTGGCGATGAGATTAAGATATCATTAGATCGGAGGGTCTATATTTATTCTTATTTCTTTTATTAGATCTCTTTCTCACCGGAACCAAACTATATATATATATATATAGACACACACACACACACACACACACACACATATATATATATTATTTGTTGAAGTTAAATATTTAAAAAATCAATTTTATTTAATAGTGTTGGTTTAAGTTAATTATTTAAAAGATATTTTAAATGTAATATAGTAATATTTACTTGAGTTAATTATTTAAAAGTTATTTCAAAATTAATTTATAATATTAATTTAAGTCAAATATTTAAAAAATTGTTGTAGTAAGTTGGCGAATTGACGTATGTACACCTCCGCTTGTAGTAGGAAAAATATGAAATTAATGGAATCTGATGTGACGGTAATGTGTAAGAGAGAGAATGAGAGATGATGCAGTAAAAAAGTTTTAAAAAGTTTGTATACCTTCAACCCTAAGAGTGATTGTAATTGGTAAGTTTTTTTGTAAGTTTAAACCCAAAAAAGCTAGTTTTAACCATTAATTACAAAGCTGAAAACTGCTCCTGAGTACCTCCTATTTTGAAAAATTAACTGCCGGGTACCTCACATGTTTAAAATATACTCCGAGGCACCCTCTATTTTGAGATACTAACTTCTGGGTACCTAACATTTTTAAAATATACACTGGGTACCTCCATATATACATTAACTTACTCGTGAGGGACATTTCATCCCAGTATCCATTAAAGCCAGTTACGCCAATAATTTTAAGAAATAGGGGTTTGGAATTCCAAAAGTAACCTTGGTTCTTATACTTTAAGGATACGATCAATCAAGTTTAATCGAAGCTTTCGAATAAAACGGAATGTCCCTCACGGGTAAGTTAATATACATTTGGAAGTATCCCAGAGTATATTTTAATCAAAACAAACTTATCTATATCTCTATATCTATATATCTATATACTATTCTTAAAAGCGAGGGAAATTTTGCCAACATTTTCCCCTCCCAAACGTTCATCTAAAAATGGTAAGAACTTAAATAGCCTTGAAATATTTTTTTGGTAATATAATACCTTTTATGCATTTAGTTATAGAAAATATTGTTACGTTATTACCTTATATAGCTTTTATTTAATGTCAATTTAATCATGGAAACATTTTTCAAAAATATAATACCTTTTATACGTTTAATTATAAATTTTTTTTAAATTATTACCTCATATAGTTTTTATTTAATGTGGATTTACTTATATAAACATTTTTACGGTAATATATTAACTTTTACGGAGGAAATATTTTTTTGTTAGGCGTGTATTATCTATATACTATTCTTAAAAGCGAGGGAAATTTTGCCAACATTTTTTCCTCCCAAACGTTCATCTAAAAATGGTAAGAACTTAAATAGCCTTGAAATATTTTTTTGGTAATATAATACCTTTTATGCATTTAGTTATAGAAAATATTGTTACGTTATTACCTTATATAGATTTTATTTAATGTCAATTTGATCATGGAAACATTTTTCAAAAATATAATACCTTTTATACGTTTAATTATAATTTTTTTTTAATTACTACCTTATATAGTTTTTATTTAATGTGGATTTAATTATATAAACATTTTTACGGTAATATATTAACTTTTACGGAGGAAATATTTTTTTGTTAGGCGTGTATTATGTTGAACTAGTAATAGAAATACTAATGTAACAATGGAAAGGATTGAAATCGCGTTAAGATAGTGTTTTTGTTATGAAAAAATATATGTACATTAACACCTTATGTAGCTTTTATATAATATAAATTTGATTATAAAACTTTTTTATCTTTTAAAAATTTTACGCTTGAAAATTTAGTCTTGAGATTCAATTAAAGAGAATTTCAATTTTTAAGGAGGAAGTTTATTATTCGGTACATTATTACCTTTTACGAAAAATTTTACGCTTGACAAGTTAATAATGTATATTATTACCTTTTTAAGGAGAACATAAATTTCTATTAACTTTTATGAAAAATATGATAATAAACTGAAGTATACATCAATACACAAAATACAAATAATAAATATAAAGTATGTCAATTAAAAACGTACAGTTTATATTTTTATGACAAACATATATTATGTCGAAATAATAATAAAAAATTAAAAATACTAAGCTCATAATAGCATAAATTGAAATCAAGTAGAAATAGCGTTTCATTATGGGTTTTTTTATATTTTATTATCTTATGTAGCTTTTATATAATGTCAATTTAATTATGAAAATATTTTTATAGCTTTTAAAAAATTTACGGTTGACAAGAAGAAAAATTATATACCATACATTATAACCATTTACTAGCTTTTACCATTTAATATTTCCACAAGCAAACACTATTTCAAGGCTATCTAAATACTTACCATTTTAAATGAGTACTTCTATTACCATGCCTAACATAATGCATGCCAATAGAAATATTACTATTTTATTGTACATTTAGTGTACATTTATTAGTAATTATGGTACATAATGTCATTTTTTATCATTAACATTTTTGCACGTTTATTTCCTTTTCAAATCTCTTCTTGCCTATATAATTATTTGCTCTATTCGTTGATTACTGTCATCTATTAATTTTTACTCCCTCCGTTTGGAAAATACTTCTTCTTTCATTTTTTTGCTTTCATTAAACACTCCCTTTTTTATTAAAATAGTTAATATATCCAAATAAAGTCATTCCAATATACTCCATTTATTTTGTATTGATATATTAAGTTATTTAAGTGATTTATCACTTTCTTCTATTCGACGCTAATGATTTAATTGAAAAGTCAAACTACAAAATTAAATTCTGCAAAAGTCAAAATAGGAACTGTTTTGTAGATTGGAGGGAGTAGTTTCTACCAAAGTTTAAAAATAAATTTAATACTCAAATTTTAAAATTCATTTCAAACATAGGATTGTCACAATTATTTCGATAGAAATAATATAATGTGTTATTCAACTCTAAAGTTTATTTTTAAATCATAAAAAATGATCCAAATTTTAAATGACTATAATAATTAAATGCAATCAATAAAAATTGATATCTTGCATTTGCTTTTTTAATGTATTTGTTTCTAATTTCTAACACATTGTAATTTTTCAAGTTGATATTTTATAATCTAATTGATTTATAATATTATCAAATTTTATGCAAATTTTTTAGTTTTAAATTTACTTTTTTTAATTACTATAGATTTGTTTTTGTGTAAGTGATTGCTGCATATTTTTATTTCATTATTTACTAAATACTCTATAAATTTCATTTTGTACCATTAGCTGTACTAATCATGTGGAGTTTTTTTAATAGGGGTAGCAATGTAGTTTACAAAAAAGGTTTTCAAACTTCAAGTTTCATTAAATATTATATTTTGATTTAATAATCTACAGAGTATTTGTTGTTAATTGCACCTTTTTCAACATTAACATAATTAGACAATTTCATGTTTGAAATGTTAGCCGTGCAACGCACGAGGGTGATACTAGTTGTAATTAATTTAAGTATAATAATTTATTTTGTTTATATTAATTAAATGTAAATATTTTGTTAAAATTGGTGTTGTAAATATATTGTTTTATAGGAATAACTTTAAAAGAATCAAGTGATTTACCATAACATCCTCGGGACATGGCCGGGGGCTCGTTTTTTGATGATAAAACTATTTGTATCTCAAGAATTTGTACCTCATTTTGTACACCGCAGGGATGCATCAACATTTTGTGTTGGTATAATGCAAATTTTTGTTAACGCACCAACACTTTGTGTCAGTATAAATTTTTGTTAATATACCAACATTTTGTATCAGTGTGAACCATAAAAATATTAGTGTATACTTTTGATGTACAGCTACAAATTTTGGGAGATACAATTTTGGAGTACAAATTTTGGGATAAATGTAGCGTGTTCCTTTTTTTTGGACCATGCTACACACCCCCCACCCTTGCTACCAATCTTGCCTCCACCCACTTCTCCACCACATATTTATCTCTACTCATTCTCCACTCACCCTCTAATTTTAATTTTCTTACCTCCCTACCACATGTTTATGTAGGGGGCCATGGGTGGTAGGAGAGGTGGAGGGTTTTTAGCATTTTCCTTTTTTTTTAAGCAAAGAAGATAAAAAGACCAGTTTTACCATCCAGAGAGCAAGGCAAAATTTGAATGTTTAAAAAATTCAAAATTCAAAGCGAGTCCTGACATTTATCAACTAACGCCTACCTGCGCTGCGATTATGGATGCTAGGGAACCGGTTGTCATCTACATCAGCTCAGAAGAAGAAGAAGAAGACTCCACCGAGTCCGACACCGCCTCCGGCGACGGAGGAGAAGGAGGGGCTGAAACCAGCGATGATTCCGATTGTGTCATTCTAGAAGAAGACCCTTTTAAGCCGAATGAAGAACTGAGCGAAAGAGCAAGCGACGATTCCGACGATGTGCTCGTGACTGGCGTAAAGGG